AAGAGGCGCTTATATCGATTAAATTGAATTACTATTCACTGAGACATTACAGTTCTCAGTAGACTCATAAAAACGGACAAAACAAAACTTGAGATCAGTGAATACAATGGTTAAACATCAAACAGTAACTTGCAGAATCAACGTTCTCGTGGTGCCGATATAATTTCGAAAATATTGTCGATTTTATATCAATTTCAATAAGTATCTACCTGATTTTTATATTCTACGTGGAACCCATTCATCCAAAACATCCAGTTCCTTGAAATCATCGGGTTTTCTGGCGAATTCACTTTATTTGAATAGAGAAGCCAGGAAAAACCTCATTGGGACTCTGGGACCAACACTCAATATACTAAGGTAACTTTATTTGAATGTTTTTCATATTCTATTTTTTTTCATTTTTAACCAATTTTTCTTTTCATTTTTGTATAGGTATCTAATCTTGCCTAACTCATTTATCAATTCATTTCTGATTTTAGGTTACATTTGTCTTTTTTATATATAAGATTTTCTTATAAACTTCTACATATCATATTCATTCTTTAAATACTTTTTCCTTTTTGAACTAAGAGATTCGAATATTTTGATCCCAGTTCATTCGATATTTCATCGTAAAATTCAAATCTGTTAAAGCTTTTTTAGACACTGAAAGTCCGACTCCTAATATTCACAAAAAATTATAGTAACCCTTAACTCATTATTATTTTCCCCTCATGTGATAGTCAAAGATTTATATTTAGAACAGTTAGACTTTTTCATCTGATCATTTCCCTCAATGCTGAAAAAAATTATGAAAAAGATCAATCCTAGGCAAAATTCACAGAGTTTTATGTCGATTAAGATTAAGATTAGTCTGTCAGCCCATTTGTTTCCATATTTTTTTTTTTAATATTTGCTGAATGAATCAGGATATTCATTTGAAATATTTACCATTTGATCGCCAGGTGATTAGTGTTTGTGAAGAATCGGAAAAGGGAATTTTTTTTTCCGGTGATTAAAAAATAATAATAATGAATCGACTTTAACATATAGTCAGTGACTGACTATAAATCAAATCATCTAGAAGAACAATTCGTTAAGGCCAGTCTCAACTCCCTACCTATACACTGTAGGTTAATGTACTGACACCTATCAGAAAACAACTACTCTCCGGGCTAATACCTGGCTAATATCCGACAGGTGTCAGTGCAGGATTTTTCACTGAAGTTATTCCTGCGTATGCTGTTTTCAATATTGGAACACACTTGCAGACCGGTTTCGGGCTGTTTGGCCACTCGTCTGTGCAAGGCAATGTCTATAATCAACATAAAGTCAATGCTTTCCTATAACTGAAAATCGAATTCCTTCAGAGTATCATCCCTCGAACTAGGCTGAAGCGAACAACTAACAACAGGTTTGTCATCGCCCCATCTAACTGTCAACGTGGTAACCAACCGCATATACGAAATTTGCCCAATTCCTCATATAGGGAAAGAAAACCTTTAGATATAGGCGTACTTGATGACTGGCTATAAATCAAATCATCTAAAAGATGTCGGATATAATGCAACGCCCTTCGTGGTATTAGCCACGGGAGTAGTTGCTTTCTGGTAGGTGTCAGTCTATTAACCTACAGTGTAGGGAGTTGATACTGGCTTGAAGGAATTGTTCTTTTAGATGATTTGAATCGACTTTATTCCGAAGGAAGGGTGAAGTATCAACGGAGCTGTTTTTCAACTTAATCACTACACGAATGGTACGTACAATGGTATCACAGAGAGAAGGCATTATACTCATAATGATTAGAAACTGATATTGATCAGTATTGTAAAAAAAAATAAAAAACATATATTGTACCAAAAGCCGATTACTAGCAGAGAGAATAATTTGTTATAGAATTGCATAACGACAATTTTGAAAGACAAAACATTTCATAGTTTTGTAACGCTCGAAGATGCTATCATATTGCGAAACACGTGTCGCGGTTTTGTAAACTTTCTAGTGGAAATCTCACATTAAAAAGCATTAAAAAGTGTTATTTGAATACCAAATATATTTTATAGAACCTCTTTCGTAGCTTCTCCTTAGCAAGATGAGCAAAACATTCAATTATAATTTTCCTGTAACTTCAATAGTATCGATAATTTTAGAAGAGTCATAATTTCATCTATAACTCCGAAACTACTGAGAATCTATGGAAGTAAATTTGTCAAAAAGTTCTATAAAACTCATCTGATTTTTTTACAAGTGTAACACTTTAATGAAAACGAAACAGATCGAATATCTTCAAAACACATGTGTTCTGAAAGAAATGCAAAAACACGTCGATTTTTAATCCAAGGGGGACATCTTCCTATCATAACCCCAAGTGTCATACCTTTTCCCCCACCCCTCAGTGACTATCACCCAAACAATTTGAATAGGGAAAGTAGCAAGTGTGCGCCTTCTCGCGAGAAAAAAACTGTTCCGTATTCCAAATTATGATACTTCATGCGCAAGCTAATTTGACATAAATTCGGTGACAATGCATTATGAAGATGGCGGCTTCACAATGGCGGACAAGATTTGCAATTATGGTCCGATTTGATTCAAAATTAATAAGTTGTGGTTTTCAGGGTCGAAAATTATGAATTGTTTTTCAATGCAAAAAATCAAGATGGTGGCTCCAAAATGACGGACGATATTTATAATTATGGTTAGATTTAACCCGACACCGAAAACGAATTCCTCAAAACAAATGTGTTGTGAACATAATGCAAAAACACGTCAATTTTAAATCCAAGGGGGACAAATCCTATCGTTACCTCAACTGCCATACTTCTCTCCCCACCCCTTGGTCACTCATATAATTTGATTAGGTAAAGTAGTAAGGGTGACAGCATTGAAAAGGTAATTCCATAAGAAATTCAGACATGTGAATCAATGTAGTTTGGAATGATCTTAGTTAAATTTATGCACAATTTTAAAATTTTCAAGTTTTGTAATTTTTTCAGTTTTTGTTATTTTTTCATGATTTGTTCACATTACCTTTCAAATAAAATGTGAATTGATAAAAGAAACAGTTGTTTTTCCTGCAATAGAGCGCCAAAATGAAAGGTTAAGTAGCGAACACTCACATGTCTGAATTCCTTATGGAATTACCTTTTCAATGCTGTGTTGCTCTTAGTATTTTCCTTAATGAAATTGTATGAGTGAACAAGGGGTGGGGAGAGAAGTATGACAGTTGAGGTAACGATAGGATTTGTCCCCCTTGGATTTCACAACATATGTGTTTTAAAGAATTCGGTGTCGGGTTAAATCAAACCATAGTTAGAAATTTCGCCCGCCATTTTGAAGCCACTATCTTGATTTTTTGCATTGAAAAGCAATTCATAATTTCCGACCCAGAAAACCACCACTTATCAATTTTTAATCAAATCGGATCATAATTGCAAATCTTGTCCGTCATTGTGAATCCGCCACCTTGTTTTTCCCCTAGAAATACACCATAATGCATTGTCATTGTCAAATTAGCTTGCGAATGAAGTATCATAATTTGGAATACGGAACAGTTTTTTTTGCCGCAAGAAGGCGTCAAAATCGAAAGTTAGGTAGCTAAATTTGACATGGCTGAATTCCTTACGAAATTACCTTTTCAACGATGTGTCACACTTACTACTTTCCCTGATCAAATTGTTTGGGAGAGTCACCGAAGGGTGGGGGAAGAGGTATGACAGTTGAGGTTATGATAGAAAGATATCCCCCTTGGATTACAAATAGACGTGTTTTTGCATTTTTTTCAGAACACATGTGTTTTGAAGATATTCGATCTGTTTACGTTTTCGGTGCCCCGCCCTGTATATGTCGGGTTTTAAATGATATATTAATTTCCATGGCTTCCCTTTATTACATATGTATAGGATTTTGAGATAATCTTCACATATCTTGTGTTTTGATTCATGCAGATGTTCATACATTGTAGATTTTTTGTCCAAACAGACGTGTTCACCGAGCCTTACGTCAAAATTTCCACCGGTTTGGCCTGTATCTATATACTGCAGAGCATTCACCACACTATATTCTACATATACTTGATTTTTTCATTCCATCTCGTTTGGATTTTGCATTGAACAGAATTCTGCCTAAAATGTTATTACTTATGAAAGCTGCTGTTATTTTGTATTTCAAGTAGTAATTTTGAATATTTTCTGAAAGTTTACCTGAGTAATTAATGCTAGATACTTATATTTACATGTATTGTGTTCTTTAATATTTGTGTATAATTCACTTATAAGGGTTTTATGAGTTTTATCTGATATTATATTTCTATTATAGAAACTGGTACCTGAACTGTAACTTCTGTTTCAGTTGCAACTGAAAACTGAAAAACCCAGTTGTTTTTTCCGTGCATAGCATGGAACAGGCTGAAGAGATAGCAATTATCAGCTATAATATCCCAAGGACATTGATAACTAACGAAATAATTTTATCACAGTTTTCGAAAGCACGTTATTTGGTAACATAACCTAAAATAACGTGCTTGAGGAAGTTGTGATAAAATTATGAGTTATTTATCAATATTCGAGGGATATTCGGTGAGAAAATTTTTTGTAATTCGAACAAAATTATTTATTGAACACACAGTTATTAAAAGAACAATTCGTATCATGATATAACTCCATAAATATTTTCCAAGTGTATTTTTTTACTATTGACAGTATTTTTTGGTGTATTTTCTTCAATGATTTTGTCAATTGCCGCATCATTTTGAACACCAAAGCGAGGAAGTGACATTTTCGAAATAAATTGAATTACTGAAATGTCAAACAACTTTATTGTGTTGGTTGCTTAGCAATGTCTTGACATGAGTGATAACTACCCGTGAAAACTATCCATGGGTAGTTATCAGTGTAATGATGGTTTCATTGGTTATTTCGACACACATGACTAGAAATAGACAAATTTGATAGGATAATTTTTTTGGCAAAAAATTTTCATTTTAATGAAACAGTAGAGAAAGTCATTTGAATATATATCTTTATTACACACAGTGCACAACGTGTTATAACCATCACTGGCAGAATTCGGAAATTAAAAAAATACTATATACAGTATGATACATTTTTACAATGAAATAATTGTGTCGCATCGGGTGCATTTACATCGAAATTCTTTGGTGATACTTATTTGAGCGATTGAATAATAAGAGTCTACTTAAATTCAGTAATTCATACCTTACTCAATATAATAGATGTGTATGACTACTTAAATATAATCACTATTGGGTCTAAAGCTTCAATAGGTTCAGATTGGTACGAGAGTACTGGAACACATTATTGCACTTGAAAAATCTAATTATATATATACAAAATAACTCGCTTTGTCTCTAGAGGTGTGCCTAAAGCTTCAGCTGAATGATACAACCTTATCCAAATTGTCTTTTGAGATATATTCAGTTACATCTATGAGATCCTACGCAGCCTAGATCTACAAAAAATATCTACAGTTTCAATTCTGTTCCTCTCTATGATCTAAATTCGCCTCCTCTTCCTGTTGACTCAAATTGCCAATTAGAGAGGGGTGATAGTAGTTGAAATAGGGAAAGATCTGCATAGAATTCGAGTACTGCTGACAGAGATTTAGCATAGACTCTTGTATGGTCTTGGGGTACTTCTGAACCATACTTTTACTCATCTGGTCGTAAACGAAGAAGTCGTTTTTGGTTTGTTTGGGATAAAAACCGTTTTTGTGGTACACTGGATTTTTCTGCTGGAGAAAAATTGGAATGTCATCTTTGACGAGCACTTTGACAGCAACTCTTTTCGCGTTCTGATTGAGCAAGTTCGATTCTTGCATCTGCAGCTGCTTTCTCTTCGTTTTGTAGCGTCGGTTCTGGTACCAAATCTTCACTTGCGTTTCGGTCAGCTTCAGAGCTGCAGCGAGGTCCGCTCTTTCGGGACCGCTGAGGTATCGCTGTTGACTGAATCTTCGCTCGAGCTCGAAAACCTGCGCGTGCGTGAAAGCTGCGCGTGACCTCTTCTTGCGGCTCGGTTGGCTGGAGTCCCTGCAAGAGTCGTCTGATTGGTGGGATGACGCGTAATCTGGAGTTAGGGTTGATAATCCGGTCAGTGAATCTGAAACAATTGAAAGGAAAGTTATGAAAGTATGTTTGTGAGTCTTTTACCATAACCACGATTTGTAAAATAATTGCTATTCATCTAAAACATTTTCTTCTTGTATCCATCGAATAACGATGATTCAATTTCATCTATAGAGTGAAAAATGTACAGCTTTTATTGAATTCTTTAATAAAAAAATCTTAATAACCGGCCTGAAAATGAATATAAGCATACAGTATTTTCCAGTTGAAACTAGCCACTCTAAATAAATTATTTGATGTTGAACGTGTAAAAAAATCATGGAACATGTCAATTTTTGTTTTCAGTGGGGCACATTTCTACTTAAAAATCCACCCTCTCCCCACAACAACCATCAGGTCAAAAATTTCAAATGGAAATAATAGTAGTGACGCAACTTATTTGCAAGGTCTTTCAAATTCTGAATCGAACTTTGTAACTTTTTTGATATTACAATGATATACGCAATGTGGAAAAAATTAAATACTTTTCAGGTTTGAACTGGAAAATGAAACCAGACAAAAAAATGCATTATCGAATGTTCGAACTTGCATGTAATAATGGTATGAATGAGCTTCCGTATCCTCCATCACATTCTGAAGAAAATCAGGTGAACAGTAATTTTGCGGGTAACCATATTATAGGATCACTCTTTTTGGTAGATGCATGATATTTTAATTTACTGCATATTCAAGTTATGCCAAACATCAACAACGCCTTCCAGTTGGATCCTCTGATGGGGAATGGGATAGTTTTTCAAGAAGGTGGGGCTCTTATTCAGTGATTATCGTTGTAATATCAAAATGTTACAGGGTAGAATACATAAATAATTGAAATACTTTTCAAATAAGATATCACTCGACTATTATTTCCATTTAAAATTGTAGTTGTAGGAAGAGGGTAGCTGACGAGAGGTTAATTTTCACGTAAAAATGTGTTTCACTGAAAACTATAGTTGTCTTATTTCAGTCTCAATATTCAATGACTCATACAGGGTGTATCGCTTCAACTGAAATACTTTGTATACAATATCTGTAGACAGATGTTGAGATGAAGGAAAAATTCACTCTTTTGATTCATTATTTGATGGCCAGTTCGAAAATGAATGCTGATTATAACGCCATTGGAGCACGATCTGCCTCATTTACACCTGTAGTTACTAGGAAATTGCATCAAGAAATCCATAAATCAAGACCATGTTTTCTCTCACAGATAATGTGCATTACCATTCAACGCGGTAATGCTGCTTCGTTTCTAGAAGCGACTACGGCAGTGCCTAATCTTTGCTTTTTAGCAAAATTTTTACGAAATCTTCAGTTTAATTGTTCCAAGTTTCAGGATTGACCTATTTTACTTCCTGAACGAATGGTGAGTTGGAGTCCTAAGAACCAGCTTGGACTCACCTCTGTTTCAGGTTAGTGAATTAATAAACGTTAATGTATTTGGATCGTTATAGTGTACTTTTCCCACACCAGAATAAGGAGTATTTTCTTTCTGGTGTGGAAAAAGTATTTTCAATTATTTCATTCCATTCTTGCTGGTAGAAACTAAATTTTCTTGTGAAAAAAGACGTCCTCAGTTACCTACATTTTTTCAAATATCAACATAAATTTTTACAATTCTCACGTGGTTTTTATATTAGTTGTATATTCCAATTATCATATTGTGATATATTTTCCGTAATTCATAAGAAATGATTCAAGTTAACAATCAGAAACAGGGTAGATACGTCAATACATATTATAAATTGAAGTCCCCGCCGTATCTGTTTGTCTGTGTGTCTGAACGCAATAAACTCAAACATTACCGAATGGAATTCCATAAGGTTTTCACCAGTAGATAAATTGATTCAAGAGGAAGTTTTTGTGTATAATTTATCAATATTTTGTGTTTAAAATATGACTATGTTATATGTGAGAAGTCGGGGCGGTACTGCTTACTTGCGAAATTTCATCAAAAACGCTGCCTAACCCTTTTGATATTTAACAAAAAAACTCACTACCCATGTATTCAATTAACAGTTTATACCTAGTTTTCATCAATGAAAATATTGATTCAAGGGAAAGGTTCATGTATATAATTTATAATATAATTTTTATTATATAAATTACCTAGTTCAAATGGTCACTTCCAGCAAATATGTTCTTTTTTTTTCATGGACTTCAACTGCCATTTAGTATGAATTAGTGTGCTATGAATCAATGTTTTAAAATGGTACCCACAGGATCAACGTAAGCTCTTCAGGTCCAGGAAACTCGGTGGTTATACCTGAGGTCCTCTGAGACGTAGCGGTCGGTAATTGTAATTTTGAGTTGAATATTCGCTCGTAACGACACTAAAGTGCCGCACAATGAAGTAAATCGAACCCTATTTAATCACACACGTTAATAGAACTACTCCCGATAACGAGATACAAAGATTACAAATAATAGATTTTCATTCACTTTTCGTAGAAACCATTGACAAAAGTTATTTCATAGTTTGGAGTCGGGGGAAGTGGTAGAAATATGATGAAATGTCAATGGGAATTTTCCGAAAAGGAATAAATATATAAATTAAAGGGTTATGTTTTAGGAGATACGTTTTTGGAAACTCAGAATTCGTATAATGAATCGTTTTCTCCCAATAAAAAGCAGTCAAAACTGTTAGTTCCCAAAAGTTAATAAAATGATCGTAGTAGCCCATCTCTGAACCACATGTCGGAATTGTTTGGTCTCTGTCATTGAACATGAGTATATTTGTGAACTTGATGTTCCACAATCACTTCTGTCACGTAGACAGATTCTTTGATACGTTAGTAAAAAAGTCATCATCCTGCCTTGGATAATGCGTGTGATTCAAACTTCAAATCTAACTCGAAGTATAATTTTCAATTATATAACAGAGTTTTCTGGATGTGTTTGACAGTGCTAAAGATACCTGCACATGAATCTGTGGAACAATTATACAATGTATTTGACCGTTGCGTACCAATAGTTTCAAAAAAATCCGAAAGCAAATGTTCAGTTCGGTTTGATAGTGCAATAATCAGGAAACTTCGGATCAAAGCTGAATTTTGCTGTAGAAAATAAAACGGCGTTCAACCCTGTTCATGAATTTAACAGCCACAAGACGAATATCAAAATCAATACTAAGTTTAAACACTGAGTTAAAGTTGGATAGCCTATATACTCAAAAATTTCGATAATTTTTTGAAAACTGAAAATGTTCTCATGATACTTGTGATAAAATGTTATTTAAAGATAATCTGCTCGATGATCTTTCAGATATAATTAATAATTTTGCACATTTCTTCAGTAGTTCATACACAATATTAACATCAAAGATTCATCCTACAGAGCACTAATGATATCCCTTGCCTAATCATCAAAAATTGCAATGCTGAGAAAATTAAAATCTGAGTTCACCACTTTACCCGATTATATTCCATCATTCATTATGAAAGATTGTACTGTAGCCGAACTTCAATGAATGGACGTTAATATGTCAGTAATCGAATAAAAGTATTTATCTTCATTCTAATCACACTCGTTTTTACTTTTTCAGCAGCAGATAAGTTCGAAATATTTTGATATAGTTTACACCCAGTAGTATGACTGTTGGATGTAAACTGTTAGATGTGTAGTTATCGCTCCTTGAATCAATTTCATAAATCTTATATTCTTTATGTTCACCATTAGATGTGAATAATATTAAACTAAAATAACTATAACCAAATTCAAAACAAAACATCATAACGTTCATTGATTTATCTCACTGATGTTACAAAGAACCCGAATTCATCATTCGTTATGCCGTCTTTCCCGTACTATACAAATTATAGTCCTTTCGTCCACAGACTTTGTGGCATTTTTAATAACTAAGGGATTTATGTTAGCACAACACTCCCAAATAGTATTTTTTTAATGTTCTTTTTTCGCAAATGTCTTGTGCTTTTAGACTTTTTGTTTCAGATGACACCATAGAAAAAAGTCCATCGGAGATAAATCCGGTGATCCTAATGGCCAATAATCTTCACAATGTCGCCCTAAACATCTGACTAAGGAAGTTTCACTTCTACCGTTTGGTGAATCGGTGCCTTATCGAACTGATACAACAAATTTCGTTCTTAGAGGCAGATTATTTAAAACTTCATACAACTGATTTATAATGAAATTTCTGTAGAGGTCTGCGTTCAAATTTTCTATAAAAAATATGGTCAAATTATTTGGTTATGTAATGACCCACACCACACATTTGTCTTAAATGAATATTCTATTACATTTTATTCCAAAATTTGGATTATTGTTAGACCACCAGCGACAATTTTGGGAACTAACTATTCCGTTCGTCGTAAAAGTTGCCTCGTCTGTCCATAAAATCCTGTAGAGAAATGCGATATCATTTTCTCTCTCACCATGGAACCAAAAAGGAAATCCTACTTGAATATCAAAATCTTTTTCTTCAAGAGTGTGTATGAACTTTGGCTTATAGGAATGGAATTTATTTTTGTGCAAGATTCTCTTCGAAATATTTATGAAATATCTCACGGGATCTGAATGTGATTTATACCTTTATAAAAATATGTTTTTATATTTTTCTATGATATCTAGTTTACATTATTCTATTTTCAATTTGCCATAAGATATCTATTTTATGATATTTTCAAAAAGAGTAGTATATGATATATTCCAAAATATATAATTTCTTCAACAACTGATATCTCACTAACTCTTTCAAATTATACATTTACATAAATACCATACACATTAACCAAAAATTCATTTTGGGGAATAAACGGCATAATATCCGGTTGAGAGAAATTCAAATATAAAAACTCGTGTTCCTTTGAACTTCTCTACAACCCATTTTTTTCATTTTATAAGTTGGTTGAAGTTGAGAATAAAAATAAATATGCCTTATTAGAAATGAAATGTGAATGGACAACTTCCTTGGTAGAAATAGAACTCATTCACACTGATAATTCTTATGATAATGAATGAATATAACTGTCAGTT